GTGTCTGTTGTTGTTGTTGCTGTTGACCTGTACTCGCATTGACGGCTATTTGTGCAGCCTGAAGAGCAGCCGGAGTATCGACAGGCTGTTGCCTTAGAGACAAGATCGCTTGCTGCTGCAGTTCATTCAGTTGTTGAGCTACTAATGAGTCCTAAGATCGAATAAAGTTGAGCATTTTGGAGCAATTATCTTTTCAATCTGTAGCATTCTTAATCCACTTACCACCCTAAATTCGAAGATCTGACCGATAGAATTAATTAATAACCGATATCTGCTATCCACTTCTCACGAATGAGAGTTGACAATTCGTTATGTAAGTTATTTGTTATAGAGTGTAGTAACTGTGAGGTATTGAGTTGATAACTGAATTCATGAGTTATTCGTTAAGTGAGTGCAGTGCATCTGATTTGATGAATTCAATTATTCAAATTATCATCAGCGAATATTAATGACTACTGACTTGTTGCGCAAGGCGCATGGTTCGCTCAAGTATCGTTTCAGATAACGGCGCAGGATCTACTGGAACTGGAGGACGAGGTGAGACGGCACCGTTGACCTGGGTGGCAGCCGGGTTCGATTGTACATCAGCCGCACTGACAGCGATAGGTTTGATCAGCTCAAATAGGTACACGTGCACGTTGAGGACAACACATAATCATTAGCATCAAGTGCTTGATCGAAATTTTCGAACACACCATCAACGAGAAATTATCTGCGATGTCGTCATCAACAAAATGCGTCCATTACAGACTCATAGGCCACTTTCAATAAACCAAACGTTTCAGACGTGATATCTTAGAATTAGTCTAACCACTAATACAATTTCGATAAGCTGCAACGTTTTTGCATTTCTATCTGATAATAAGGAATCTCAGAATTCATTCATCTCATCATCATATTCACATTTCTTTGCCACTATCATGGATCGCCCCAGAAAATCTTCTCCACCTCGTGCGTTGACGTGGTTTGTTGGGTTCCATTTGCCGTTGAGATGGCCAAGAGGCCTTGTGCTGCTGAAGCATTCAGTGCGAGTTGGTATCGAAGCTGAGCGAGATCAATTCCACAACGAGCACCTGAATTTCGTGAGACATGAATCTTCTTAGACATGAATCACTAGGAAAATCTTTGATGCAGTAATCTCTGATGAAGTGATTCACTACAAGAATTTACAGATCCGTTGAGCGTTTACAAAGAGTATTCACAGCAGCTGTGATTGTGTGAAACGGTTGGTATGTAGTGAATAATTTCGATACCATTAGCACTGTTGAGAAGGGCATTCTGAAGTAAAAGTGCTTCAATTGGTGATGTTAGCGAATTTGTAGTACTTATAAAAGGCGGTATTGNTTATAAAAGGCGGTATTGTGACTGAGTTTGGAAGACTTTTCGTTGGCAGCGATTGATAGCTTTTGGTAGCCTGAAAGCTTGACAGTGAAATATTTTCACTGAAATATTGACAGTAAAAAGAAACAGATATCCAGAAATATTTTCATCTGCACATATTTCCAAGGAACTATTAGAAAAACTCTCAAGTGAACGGAACTCTATCTGCGGTGAAGTTGCACGAGAGAGCGATTCTGCGAGAATTCCGTCAGATTTATGGCAAATTGCGATCAATTCACTAAAGTGATTTGCTAAACGAATGCTCGTTCTGATCGCATACGATAGTTTGATATCTCCTATACACATTCACGTGGAAAGCGTTGAGCATGGAGATGACAGAGCTTAATCATATAAAACATTTTCAGATCTGTATACGAATATTTTGATCAATATGCATTCAGAGTTCAGTTGATGCATCTTAGGCTGGAAGTGATCTAGGTGGTTCAGTATGATCACGCATATCTGGCATCGCCTAAACGATATGACTTGACATTTATCAACACCGAACGTTTATCACGCCCAGGTATTCATTCACCTGTTGCTGCTGAACATCTCGTAATTTATCAGGGGCGTTCATCTTTTGCGAGACAAGCGTTGGTTGAGGTCGAAATTGGCTGAAGCAATAATAAATCTCATCATATGATCGAAAATAATTTCACTGATGAGGAAATACACTAAGATAAAAGAAATGTGCACCTCAAACACACCAATTGATTACTTCCGGAGTTTACATTCGAAATTCGACGATGTAAAAAATTAAACAGTGAAGCTTCAGCTAGCTATTCAAATCCTCCGCAGTAATAGAGCAGATTCATGGGAAATTATCAGATAAAGTGCACGTTTAGGAGAGAACAACGCAGATTTTGTGAACATTTCGTGATGTGATGTAGGCGAAGATCAAAATGTAATAAATATCTCCCACAAACAATGTTGATAACCTACAGAGGAGTAATTATTAAACGTATGGGGAACTAGGATAATTGCTCATGAGATGAACAATGAGTAAGCACGATAGAACGATAGAACCTAGGGTTTCGTGGTACTGAGGGCAAATAAGAGTTGATTAGATGATTACTTTAACAGATGCAATTGCTGTTCATTCTGCAAAGCGTTCGTAGATAAACCACCAATCGGGTTTTGTGATATTGTCGGTGGTGTGGAAGTGACTGAAGATTGCGTTTGGGTTTGTGCTTGAGATAACTGCTGTTGGGCTTGTGATTGGGTTTGTTGTTGTGTAGTGTGTAGTGTTGTGTAGTGCGTAGTGTTG